AAACCGCTATTACTATTTAAGTATAAAGTGTTGTATACGCATTACGCTGCGCGCACATACGCATTACGCTGCGCGCACATGGAAACCCTACTTAAGAGGATGGGCTTTCTATGGTTTCGCAATACCATGTTCACGGACATAACCACTTGTCCCCGCTGGACAAGTTAGTGTGTATCCGGTTCAATACCGGTTCCTCACCATATCTGGCGATCTATAGCCTGTTTTTATATTATGTATTGTCCAGATAGTGCTGTTAGTTTTAACTTTACATGCTAGTTTTAATTCTAACTGTGATCGTCTAGTTGTTTTACTATCATGTGACGAGATGTGTTATAATATACACTCACTCTTAATCAACATCTAATTTGTTCTCGTCACGATATGGCTGAAACATTGCTGACGTGACGTTAAGAATTAACTCACTCACTCACACTCATCACCATAACAACGACGTGTTTTAGTCGGATATTGCCAAAAGCTAAGCCACTGTGCGTGATAGTCACCTGGTGACCCTTCTCAACTCCCTTTGCAAATGTTCAAGGCCAAAACGTGGAGTAGCTCGAATGAAATGCCCCAATTGTCACGACAGGTTTGTAAAATCAATACCTTTACCTAGCCGTTGTCGATCACACAATGAAAATCATGTTCCTTTGTCCAGTAGCAATACACCTAAAATCTCTGACCGCAAATTTACCACGTCAAAAATATTTGGCCTAACACTGAATTTGAAGGATTTGAATACTATGAACATGTTGTTACTACGACTCTTGCAATGTAATGAATACCCTGGAATACTGGAATAATTCCAGCTGTTCATCATATGAAGAAATGCAGTTCTTGAAAACATACCCATTAACGAAATGCCGCAAAATAGTTATGTTGGGTTTTATTGGGTTTTACAACTTCTGTACACAGCGTCCATGACAACAGGAGGTGATCACGAACTGTTTCTTGTGGTCCCGGTCGCTTGATGTTGAATTTAACGAAATGCAGAAAATGAACTAAACTTTATGACCCCTTTCAGTTCGGTATAAAAGTAGTTTATGAATTAGTTTTATAGGGAATCTCGTGTATCTGCTTGAAACGCTTGATGTTCACACAATAATACGACCGATCATGGTGCATGTGTGAAGAGTGGAGCACATTCATGCCACACATTTTGCATGTTGTTTCTGAGGGTGGTTGTGTTCGGGTGATGTTGTCAATATTATCAGATAAATCAATTTGACAGTCAATAAGGTTAATGTATTCTTTGAATATTTACCTTTCAGTAACATGACGGAAAAAATTACTATCGAAATTGATAAAGATATTACACTGAAAATACTTGTTGCTTAATTTTTTGTGAGGAGTATATGTTGAGCGTTTTTACGAGTCGCTTTAACTCAGAATATGTGATATTTCATGTGTAGTGAGTGAGTGAGTGTGTGAATGAGTGAGTGAGTTTAGTCTGGACCAGACAATCCACTGATCAATAGCATGAACATCGATCTACGCAATTGGGATACAATGGCATGTGTCAACCAGGCCAGCGAGCTTGACCACCCGATCCCGTTAGTCGACTCATACGACAAGCATGGGTTACTGAGGACCAATTTTTCACGGGTCGATATGTCATGTTAATGTGTTTAGTAATCTTATAGCGACCACACAGGCAGCTTGGGTGGTATACTCCCCAGGGAGTTGTTAAAGAAAACTGAGTGCACACTAATCCATTGACCGGAGAAATAACAATTCAGTGCTTCCACCACCACCATCATCGTCGTCGTTGTCATCATCATCATCATCATCATCGCTGAGGAGGAATATCTTAAACCGGGGCGGTGGGGTAGCCTAGTGTTTAAGGATTTCGCTCGTCACGTCGAAGACCCGGGTTCCATTCTCCACATGGGCACAATGTGTAAAGCCCATTTCTGGTGTCCCCCGCCGTGATATAGCTGGAATATTGCTAAAGCGGTGTAAAACCATACTCACTCAGTCACTATCTTGAACCGGCATGAAATGTTACAAACATGCATGCATACATACACACACACATGCGCGGCCATGCACATATACGCACGCACGCACACACCGACATACAAGCATACATACTCACGCAGACACGCAAGCATACATTATATCAATGTATTACGCAATCTATAACTGAATATGTAGTAATTCTTTAATAAGATCACGACGTCCATGCTGCAAGGTCGTATCCCGCTGACTACAGCTGTCACAAGACTTCAGAATAAAGAACTCAGAACTCCAAGATTGCAACTGTAAATTGTTTGTTTGAAATCCTGACAGCTATATATTTATTATTGTAGATCACATTTCAGCCTTATCTACCCTTACAACTTATTAGTGTACCACGTCTGTCAAGGTGTTTGCGTCGTTACAACATCGCTGCACACAGGTTGTCACCTAGGAAACTGTGGAACGGGTTGCTATCAGTTGCTATATCCCCACCCTCCACCCCTAGCCCTCTACCCCCACCCCTGCAGACAGCCAGATCTCGGTTGTTAACATACCAGCTGTCGCAGTGTAAATGACACTGATTAATGTGGTTCCGTGACGTTGTTGGCAGGAAGACGTTATACGTGCCGGAAACAGCATATCATCCGAAACTAATCATATGATCTAGTTAATTATCACTGTTACTTATTTTCAGTCTTTCAGTCCTCTACAAATACCTTACCACTTAACATCGTCCATGCATTTTGTGCATTGTATTTGAATGTATTTTTATGCTATTTTTTATGCTCATTCACGATGTAAGCAAAATTTCCCATCGGAAAATAACGTATTATCTTATCTTTTTATAACCCCACATTTTCAATTTACTACTCAATGATTGTTAAGAATACAGGGGCAGTTCATGTTGTTCTAGAAACTAAATATTATGACTTCGTGTAATATGAGTAAAAGTTACTTTACCATCAGCATATCCCTGGCAAGTATTGAGTAGTATGGCTGGAATTGTAATTCGAATTTTTCGTGTGGAACAGTAAACTAATTACTAAACACTAATTTCAGTTCGTTATAACTCGTAGCTCGTCATACGCATTCGAAAAATGTCTTTGTATCTGCCGGGTAGTCATAGACGTGTTCGAGATAAACGTAGCTTAGGGACCGTTCATTATTTATGGGTGGGGGTGGGGGTGGTGATGATTTTCATGGAGAAGCATGTACAGTGTGAATGATTCCCCCTAAAATATATGTACAGAGTAAGTGCCACCCCCACCCCACCACCTGCATGCCATGTACAAATTCAATGACAACTCCCCTAGTACATGTGTACAAAATTGATGACCTCCCCAGAACAAAATGGGTGGTCCCACTTAAAATCATCATCACCCCTTAGCCATAAATTATGAACGGTCCCTCACCGTACAAGATTTACGTTTGGCGCAGATGCTGTTGAGTCAGCTCCGGTTTATATAAATTTACGTTCGCTGATCTACCAGCGGTTTTGATTCGTCAAACGCCAAGCCATGGTGACCAAATATACTTCATTCAGGAAATTCAATAGTGATATATTACATACTGGTATTAAGATATTTACTTTAAATTTACAGTGTTTCGGCGACTTTTTTGAGTAAAGGAAGGTTTATTTATTTACTGTAAAGGTTTGGTCACAGTCGTCTAGCGAGTGTGTATAAATATCTGCGAAATTCTAGACCCCACCCAAAATGACAAAGACTTCCTTAATATGGGGTTCGAGCAACATATTTTAATATTAGAGCTTGTTTGTCGTAAAGTTTAGCACACGTGATCTAGTTAACTTAGAGGAAGAGTTGCGTCCCCTTAATTGACATGATAAATCGTTACAACCTTAATGTATTGAATTTTCTAGAAGCATCATGCTGGGTCTTCGGAATCTGAAAATCAGTGCGACTTACTTGGTGTGCTTTTCACAAAATAGGACACTCTTAGGTCCATGTGACATGTTATACGTATGCAGCCAATCAAAACGCGTATCACAAATCACGTGGAATTTACACGTCAAGTAAACAAAAATGGCGACTCCGACTGACGTCAACCCTCAAACAAAGACACATACAAATTAGGTACGTAGACTTCTGTTACAAAGAGTTCAGTTTTGGCGTTTACATCGGTCTACATCTCTGCGGTACACAGTGTCACTTGAAACCGTCGCCACTTAGTTCTCTATTGGATCAAGAAAGGAATAGAGTAGACTCAAAGTTTCAAAATATTAAACTATTTAAAGCTACTCCGTGCAGACAAATGCGCTTCAAAGTTTTAGTTCTTGGAAGGTGCATCTGATATGAGATGTCTTTAAAATGTCTAGACAAAGCAGAAGTACAGTGAAAGACGTGTGAAAATACTGTACTGTCATTGACGCTTGGCAAACAACCCCCCTGTTAGATAGTGTAGTCACCATCCCACTCGTGAACGTGGGCCGGTATAATATGCCTATGACGTCATATTTCACCTTCAGCTACAACACACATCACTGGACTCATCATACCGTCAGCAATTAATTAACAAACTTATTCAAATAGTTCGAATGAATTCAGTCGAAACAACCAAGCAACTTGTGTGCTATGTCGCCTAGATCAACGAGTTGGCAACTCGCCAAGACAAATGGCAACGTAGAATAGCCAGCTTCCAGTTTTAGGCAATAATATCTGCTACTTTTTCGAGCGATCGTTAGTTGTGTTAGTTCTGATAATTTCTAATTTCGAATATCCACTGGGCGATGACAATGACTTAAAAAATTTAAATTAAAAAAAAAAAATCACATACGCGAAGGTATGAGTGACGCAAAATCACGCGCACTGACAATGATGTCCATTTTTCAGATTCAAAGTGCATTTATCCCACATTTATATGCTACAATTGCTAATTAAAAACAAATAAACGAATAGAAATATGTTGATGTAAGAATCCTTTTTATTTCTTAACTGACACATTCATGTACATGTGGGTTACTACTTCAAGTTACTTGACTAGGTGACATAACTGACTCATAGTGTTATCTCTGCATCCAGGTAAATCCTACACTGAATCACGTCACTGCTATCAGCGAACTCAACTGTCTTAAGAGATTACAAAATCGGGTCATCTGGCGTGACGTCATATGGCAACAGTGTGGGACATATTGCACAGACCGAGACTATAGTTATCAGATGGAGGCGAATAGGAACACACTAGCCCATGTACCGTATTTCCTCTATTAAGCGCCTGGCCTCTAATAACCGCCGGGCCTCTAATAAGCGCCGGGTATAGGCCTTTGCATTTTTTCGCAAATGTATTCTCCGTTGGTCTAAAAATAAATATATGGAATGGTCCCTTAAATCATAACTTCATGTACTCATCCCCGCTTTTAAAAATACAGGGTATTTTAATAAGCGCCGGGCCTCTAATAAGCGCCGGGTATAGGCCTTTGCATTTTTTCGCAAATGTATTCTCCGTTGGTCTAAAAATAAATATATGGAATGGTCCCTTAAATCATAACTTCATGTACTCATCCCCGCTTTTAAAAATACAGGGTATTTTAATAAGCGCCGGGCCTCTAATAAGCGCCGGGTCTGGAGGTTCGTTGAAAAATAAGCGCCAGGGGCGCTTATTAGAGGAAATACGGTATGTTACAGATTCACTGTTGGGTTATAGTTTGAACTCAGAAAACTATCTTTTTAACGAACACGCTTATAACGAACTGAGGGAAAACTCTGTTATGACGAACTGAGGGAAAACTCTGTTATGACGAACTGAGGGAAAACTTTGTTATGACGAACTGAGGGAAAACTTTGTTATGACGAACTGAGGGAAACCTTTGTTTATGACGAACTGAGGAGAAAATCTGTTATGACGAACTGAAAAAACTTTGTTTATGACGAACTGAGGGAAAATTTGTTTGACGAACTGAGAACTGTTTATAACGAACTGAGGAAAACTTTGTTTATGACGAACTGAGGGAAAACTTTGTTTATGACGAACTGAGGGAAACCTGCTTGCTTGTAACGAACTGAGGGAAACATTTGTTTATGACGAACTGAGGGAAAATCTGTTTATCACGAACTGAGGGAAACCTTTGCTTGTAACGAACTGAGGGAAAACTTTGTTTATGACGAACTGAGGGAAAACTTTGCTATGACGAACTGAGGGAAAACTTTGTTATAACGAACTGAGGGAAACATTTGTTTATAACGAACTGAGGGAAAAGTCTGTTTATGACGAACTGAGGGAAACATTTGCTTGTAACGAACTGAGGGAAAACTTTGTTATGACGAACTGAGGGAAAACTCTGGTATGACGAACTGAGGGAAAACCTTGTTTATAACGAACTGAGGGAAACATTTGTTTATAACGAACTGAGGGAAAAGTCTGTTTATGACGAACTGAGGGAAAACTTTGTTTATAACGAACTGAGGGAAAACTCTGTTATGACGAACTGAGTGAAAACTTTGTTATGACGAACTGAGGGAAAACTTTATTCTGACGAACTGAGGGAAAACTCTGTTTATGACGAACTGAGGGAAAACTCTGTTATGACGAAAAACTTTGTTTATAACGAACTGAGGGAAAACTCTGTTTATGACGAACTGAGGGAAAACTCTGTTTATGACGAACTGAGGGAAAACTTTGTTTATAACGAACTGAGGGAAACATTTGCTTACGAACTGAGGGAAAACTTTGTTTATGACGAACTGAGGGAAAACTTTGTTATGACGAACTGAGGGAAAATATTGTTATAACGAACTGAAACAACTGAGGGAAAAGTCTTTGTTTATAACGAACTGAGGGAAAAGTCTGTTTATCACGAACTGAGGGAAACCTTTGCTTGTAACGAACTGAGGGAAAAGTCTGTTTATGACGAACTGAGGGAAACATTTGTTTATAACGAACTGAGGGAAAACTTTGTTTATGACGAACTGAGGGAAAACTTTGTTATGACGAACTGAGGGAAAACTTTGTTATAACGAACTGAGGGAAACATTTGTTTATAACGAACTGAGGGAAAAGTCTGTTTATGACGAACTGAGGGAAACATTTGTTTATAACGAACTGAGGGAAAACTCTGTTTATGACGAACTGAGGGAAAACTTTGCTTTATAACGAACTGAGGGAAAACTTTGTTTATGACGAACTGAGGGAAAACTTTGTTTATGACGAACTGAGGGAAAACTTTGTTATAACGAACTGAGGGAAAACTTTTGTTTATAACGAACTGAGGGAAAAGTCTGTTTATGACGAACTGAGGGAAAACATTGTTTATGACGAACTGAGGGAAACATTTGTTATAACGAACTGAGGGGAAAACTCTGTTTATGAACGAACTGAGGAAAAAACATTTGTTTATAACGAACTGAGGGAAAACTTTGTTATGACGAACTGAGGGAAAACTTTGTTTATGACGAACTGAGGGAAAACTTTGTTTATGACGAACTGAGGGAAAACATTTGTTTATAACGAACTGAGGGAAAACTTTGTTTATGACGAACTGAGGGAAAACTCTGTTTATGACGAACTGAGGGAAAACTCTGTTATGACGAACTGAGGAAAACATTTGTTTATAACGAACTGAGGGAAAACTCTGTTCATGACGAACTGAGGGAAAACTCTGTTATGACGAACTGAGGAAAACATTTGTTTATAACGAACTGAGGAAAAACTCTGTTTATGACGAACTGAGGGAAAAGTCTGTTTATGACGAACTGAGGGAAACATTTGCTTGTAACGAACTGAGGGAAAACTTTGTTATGACGAACTGAGGGAAAACTTTGTTATGACGAACTGAGGGAAAGCTTTGTTATAACGAACTGAGGGAAACATTTGTTTATGACGAACTGAGGGAAAATCTGATCATGACGAACTGAGGGAAACCTTTGCTTGTAACGAACTGAGGGAAAACTTTGTTATAACGAACTGAGGGAAACATTTGTTTATAACGAACTGAGGGAAAAGTCTGTTTATGACGAACTGAGGGAAACATTTGTTTATAACGAACTGAGGGAAAAGTCTGTTTATGACGAACTGAGGAAAACATTTGTTTATAACGAACTGAGGAAAAACTCTGTTTATGACGAACTGAGGGAAAACTCTGGTATGACGAACTGAGGGAAAACTTTGTTATGACGAACTCAGGGAAAACATTGTTTTAACGAACTGAGGGAAACCTTTGCTTGTAACGAACTGAGGGAAAACTTTGTTTATGACGAACTGAGGGAAAACTTTGCTATGACGAACTGAGGGAAAACTTTGTTAAAACGAACTGAGGGAAAACTCTGTTTATGACGAACTGAGGGAAAAGTCTGTTTATGACGAACTGAAGGAAACATTTGCTTGTAACGAAGTGAGTGAAACATTTGCTTGTAACGAACTGAGGGAAAACTTTGTTTATGACGAACTGAGGGAAAAGTCGGTTTATGACGAACTGAGGGAAAACATTGTTTATAACGAACTGAGGGAAAACTTTATTCTGACGAACTGAGGGAAAACTCTGTTTATGACGAACTGAGGGAAAAAATTTGTTTATAATGAACTGAGGAAAAACTGTTTATGACGAACTGAGGGAAAAGTCTGTTTATGACGAACTGAGGGAAACATTTGCTTGTAACGAACTGAGGGAAAACCTTTGTTATGACGAACTGAGGGAAAAATTTGCTTGTAACGAACTGAGGGAAAACTTTGTCATGACGAACTGACTTTGTTATACTGAGGAAAACATTTGTTTATCACGAACTGAGGGAAAAGTCTGTTTATGACGAACTGAGGGAAACATTTGCTTGTAACGAACTGAGGGAAATTTTGTTTATGACGAACTGAGGGAAAACTTTGTTATGACGAACTGAGGGAAAACATTGTTATAACGAACTGAGGGAAACCTTTGCTTGTAACGAACTGAGGGAAAACTTTGTTTATGACGAACTGAGGGAAAACTTTGTTATGACGAACTGAGGGAAAACTTTGTTATAACGAACTGAGGGAAACATTTGTTTATAACGAACTGAGGGAAAAGTCTGTTTATGACGAACTGAGGGAAACATTTGCTTGTAACGAACTGAGGGAAAACTTTGTTTATGACGAACTGAGGGAAAACCTTGTTATGACGAACTGAGGGAAAACTTTGTTATAACGAACTGAGGGAAACATTTGTTTATAACGAACTGAGGGAAAAGTCTGTTTATGACGAACTGAGGGAAACATTTGCTTGTAACGAACTGAGGGAAAACTTTGTTATGACGAACTGAGGGAAAACTCTGGTATGACGAACTGAGGGAAAACCTTGTTTATAACGAACTGAGGGAAACATTTGTTTTATAACGAACTGAGGGTTTAAAAGAGGGAAAACTCAGTTTGAAAACTGATGACGAACTGAGGGAAAACTTTGTTTATGACGAACTGAGGGAAAACTCTGACGAACTGATGAAAACGAACTGAGGGAAAACTTTGTTTATACGAACTGAGGGAAAACTTGTTTATGACGAACTGAGGGAAAACTCTGTTTATGACGAACTGAAGGAAACATTTGCTTATACGAACTGAGGGAAAACTCTGTTTGTGAACGAACTGAGGGAAAAAGTCTTTGTTTTATGACGAACTGAGGGAAACCTTTGCTTGTAACGAACTGAGGGAAAACTTTGTTTATGACGAACTGAGGGGGAAAACTCTGTTTATGACGAACTGAGGGAAAAGTCATTTGTTTGTAACGAACTGAGGGAAAACTTTGTTTTGCTTTGTAACGAACTGAGGGAAAAACATTTGTTTATACATAACAGACTGGGGAAAAGTCTGTTTTGTTCTGTTTATGACGAACTGAGGGGAAAACTCTGTTTATGACGAACTGAGGGAAAACTTTGTTTGCTATGACGAACTGAGGGAAAACATTTGTTTATAACGAACTGAGAGAAAAGTTGTTTAACGAACTGAGGGAAACATTTGTTTATGACGAACTGAGGGAAAAGTCTGTTTATGACGAACTGAGGGAAAAATTTGCTTGTAACGAACTGAGGGAAAACTTTGTTATAACGAACTGAGGGAAAACATTTGTTTATGACGAACTGAGGGAAAACTCTGTTTATGACGAACTGAGGAAAACATTTGTTACTTTATGAGCGAGAACTGAGGGAAAACTCTGTTTGCGACGAAACTGAGGAAAACATTTGTTTATAACGAACTGAGGGAAAACTTTGTTTATGACGAACTGAGGGAAAAG